GGGGGGGGGGGCTACCACCAGCGCAGTGGGATAGAAATGTGGATGAAAGGTTTAACGTCAAACGAAAAGTTTTGCCGTAATTGGAACTTTTAACGAAGGAAGTAACGCCAGTCTTTGAAATCTTAAGCAGCAAGTCTATATTCGAAAGGGATTATTGTTTGAAAAGTTGCGGACTTTTTTTTTACAAAGGACTCTGGACATTCTTCCCAATCAAAAGTTTCGTCTATTAAAACGAAGTACACAGTGTGCTAGGAATACATTTTTTTTTCGAGACGTTTTAATCTATCTTCTCGATTACTGTCTTATTAATCAGACCCGTTACTAATTATGCACTTATTCTCATGAGACAACTGCGACGGATTCTCTTGAGTACAGATGGCGACACCTTCGTGCCGAATAATACGTTTTATATCCGATGCGCTCACAGCGAGAAGAACGTATCCGTTATGAGGAACTATTATTTAACGTCGAGGTGGGGAGACGTAGAACGGGCGGTACGGAAGGCGCTTTCATTTGTCGCTGCATTTTCCGCCCACTAGTTCCTTGGAAGTTTGCTGTTGTTGCAGTTAATACGTTTCCATTGTGCGCACTCGACTCACTCTTTCTCCGCCTTTCATCGTCCTTGCAATTCTCATTCCTCCTTTCCCAGTCTGGCAATGTTGTTTTATTTAAGCTTCCGGTAGTTGCCGACGACACTACTGCCGCTGCTGTCGCTGCCGTTGTTGCCGATGTCGCTATCGGTGCTCTTTTTTTTTCGCACCACCTTTTATCGCTTCTCTACCAAAGCCATAGATCCGTAGGGAACGCTCGTTTGAAAGATTGCGCGACGGAATTAAACAAAAAAGGAGTAAGGTACATTTATACTCGCTCGTTGTCACTCGCAAATTGGACTAAATTTATTATCTTAACTTTTCGGTTGGCGAATCGCGAAAATCCCTCGGGTGTAAACGGGACGTCCGATTGGCAGTGGTATTTAGATGATCGTTCTTATTGAATGCACTGAATCTGTGACCCTTTGTGATGATAATGAGCTCCTCGTTGCATCGAGTGGATATGCAGATTTTATTCGTTGTTGAATATTTATCAACTGAAAGCTATCTTCTTCGAGCATCTGTTGACAAAACTCATGCTCCAATCTGTACAATAACGATTTCACTGTTAACTAGACTATCTGTCTGTTACAAATATTATAGATATCCAGTCGACTGTATTTATAAGAAAGACACCCGATACTGAGGCGTACTTACAAAATATTTAATTACTGGAATATCGATTTTACTTAAGCTTGTAAAAATTTTCAGTACTCGTCTGTCGAATACAGTTTGTTGCAATTGCCTCACAAAGCCAAAATAGTAGCTGAAAAAATAAAGTTAAAAATAAAATACGTCGATAGCATACGAGCGTGAATGCTTCACGTGCTATTTTTATCTATTTTCATAAGTGTAAAAGTTAGAGGACAAAATATCGGAGCTCGTAAAAGTCTTGTATGTAAAAATGTATAAAAAATGTTTACACCTACAGTTCGAACAGAAATTATAAGTGCCTCACCGATACCTCAATGAATAGAAATATCAAGTACGAAAGCTCGTAACGAAAGAGCATTTCGTTCTATGGTAAAAGCTGGATATCCTATGACCCACCTGTACCAAAATACGAATTCGTGGATAAAAGAAAGTCGAAACTGCGACTCACGAATCGTATTTATACGTCCGGCGGGCTATCTGCGCTGTAATTAGCCGAAATGCGCCATGTAAAACTGCAAGGCGGTCCAGAAGCCCGGCAGATTGTACCAATTAAACCCTGTAATCCTGGCTTGATGTAACTTTCAGGGTCCCGGGTTGTTTCAGTTGGCTGCATTGCATTAATGTAAATACCAAATGCCTTCTGCCTTGTGTGCTTTACATACAAATACGTGAAAATGTATGTATAGCATGCACATATATACATATATGTATATGTACATGTATCACTCTATACTACATGGTACAGGTAGCAACTTAGACAAAGGTTCGGAGATAGGTTGACCAGGGTCGAGGGGTGGCTAAGCCGTGCTGTTACGCCGATATCCCACCCCTTTACAGATCTTTGTCCCATTTCAAGCTCGAGAACTGAGATCTTCATTGTAGAATATATGTGTCGGATTTCACTAGTAAATTCGACCATTTCGTAAATGACAATTGTTTAGGTACAGATCCGTCCTTGACGCCCAGTAAAAACAGTAGCGCCTACCAATTAACAAAGAATTACAATTAGTCGACTATCATGAGGGAAAAGTGTCCGCTTTGAAATATTCATTATTTCTCTATCGACTTTTTATGGCACTCGTGTCACTAATTGCGGACGTACCCAAGAGTGTTCTGAAACTGTAGCTACGTTAAAAAAGAAAAATTATGCGTTAATTATATGGTACGCTACAGTACATGGGTGAATCGTGCTTCGTTAGACGTTAAAAGATGGATCGTTGCGAGACTGTATGACTATGAGTGTATAGTGTGTGTCTATAAGTATATTGCATATATGGAAAGTATTGTTAAGGATCAAAAGAGCGAATAGAGGTCAAAAGGGAGAGAATGGAGAATTGAAAAAAGGCTGGAAAGGTGTTAGATTTCTTATTAAAGGAGATGCGAACCGACTACAGTTGCTTCGGTTGCTCTCTGAGATCGCACATAGATGTTCGGCTTTAATTCGGTACGCCGAGCTCCAGTAGGTCGCATCGTATACTATAAAGGGATATTACGTGTTTCATATAAAAAGCACCGAACACCGTAACAAGCCATTAACGGACAGTGGAGGCTTTCTCTGGCTATACTAAGCGACCAACAAGGCAGCCAGCCCCTCGCTGGCCAACTGTAAATGATTTTGCGGCCTCGACGGTTGCACTACTCTTTGAAATATGAAACTGCGGCAATATGTAGTAAAGAGCAACGTGTATTCCTATAACCTTATTTTTCAAGCAGTACCTACAGTAGTTTGTAGTTCAATGAACTATAGGAATTTGGATAATAATCCTCAACTTTAGGAACACCTGTTAGCGTTATCTTTATAATATTCTTGTTGTAATAGTATAATTTTTATACTCTTCTTTTCTTCTTTGTTATTTGAAATGCAATACTTGTGATAATTTTAGAGCACGGAATTAATAATTGACAATCTTAACATTGAGTCATGGAGTCAGTTGGTTGGCAATGCTTTTTAAATGTGAATTGTTTGACTTTTGTTTTAGGAAGAGGCGCCTGGGAAGATTTGGCGAAAGATGCAATCTACGAATACCTTTTGTTCTAGGAGATAAGGGTGAGTAAAGGGTATGAACGATGGGGGAACTTAGTTGTAAAACCTTTATCAATTTAAAGTTCACAAATCTGGTGGCTTAACCCTATTATAAGGAGTAAGCAGTCTTAGAATTTTCGCGAAAACTTTATAATGATACCGAAGTTTGTTGCTCGGATAAATTATAGTAATTGCTGAGGATTAAGAGTGGAATGTCGTTTTCTTAAAGAATCTGTGCGTACAACAAAAGAGTCTTTATATAAATAATGAGGCACAATGTTAGTGTTGTTCAGGAAGTTCGGGAGAAAAAATATATAGGAATCTCGACGTAAAGGATTCAACGTCAAAGTCTTATAGAGCAAACAAAAAGTAGAAAGTTCTCAGAATAGGGTTGATGTTTTGTATTAAGCTATTTGGAATTTAAAAAAAAAATGTGTGGAAAGGAAGAAAAACTTTTTTTGAGATGGCACGTGCTGATAACGAGTTGTTATGACCTGAGTGAATAACCGATTGAAGAAAAGGGAAATGCAAAAAAATACAGGCAAGAATGACGTAGGGCGGATCCTGAAAGTGTCTCGCTATTTTTTTCTTGGTAAAAAAATGGCAAAAAAGATTACTGTATGGTAGCAAGCTCGTTGACACGTTCTATGGGTTCAGGAGACTTCAAAGAGATCGCTTTGACAGGAAAGGTAACGCGCTTGTCACCGGTTTATTTTGAGCGGTGCAGCATTCTCGTAATTCGGTATTCAGAGCGCAAAGAGACCGAGACATCCTTTCGGCCGTGAAATTCCTTTTCGTTCGCGTGCGATTTCGCTCCTTGGCTAAATTGCTCGCTATAGCGAGCTTGATTCTCCCTCACTCGACTTAGGAGCCAAGTTGAACTTCACTCAAGCGAACTTACAGATCACCGAGGTGTGTGACCATAAGACAAGAGTGCAGAACGTGTCTCTTCCTTATTGGTCAATGGAAATTTTTGAGGGTTACTCCACACTGACACTCAATCGTTTATTGGAAGCTTGGTCATATTGAAAATTCCTAAAAACGTCTTTTAGTCGTTATTTAGAAATTTGTAATTAGATATTTTTTATATAATTTTATGTATGACGTCGTTTCTTATATCTTGAGAAGTTAGTAATAGTGCTACGTTAGTTTACGAAGTATAGGGATTTAACAAATGATTTTACATTATTGAAATGCCTATAGAACATCTAGAGTCTGGTTACTAGAATCACAAAAGTGTTTTTGCTGCTAGATTGGTAACATGAGAAATCGAATTGTCCATGGCGGAAGTTAATTTACGCAAGTCGAGTCTTCCCTCGATTCTCTCCGTTTCAATTACACCAGGCAGGGTGGGATGATTTATCGTGGGCTTCTCATAAATAGAAATATTTATATACGAACATAGGACTTATGTATTATTCTATACGTGTATATAGGTGTATATACCTAATCGGGTACGTACATCGAGAAGCTTTCTTTTATTTTTTTCTTCTTTTCTTGTGTCTTTTTTTCTGGCCATTTGCCTTTGATTTCACGCCCGAAAACGTCGTGTCCGATGAGGGGAGAGATACTTGCTGAAGCGCAATCGTAATGGAAACGTTACGATAAAAATGAAAGGAAACGGAAAAACGCACGTATATCTAAAATCAAACGAGTGGAATTGGCGACACTCGTTTATCATAGAGTGTTTCCCGATTGATAAATTAAGCCCATATATTTCACAATTTCGTTTCAAAGTCGAGCTGTTTCGAGTGATTTCGTATGTCTTTTATTAGGTCTCTTCTTTTATGGACTAGCTAGCTTTGATTTACAGTTCCATTATTGGAGATAAGGAATACGACGCGCATGCGCATTACGGTAGGATGCTCGTTGTCTCTGCTGTCCCAGATCGGAAAATTTACAGGAATTTTTTTTTCTCTTTTACCCATCGACAACCAGAACAGCCAGAACAGCCAGAAGCGTCAGCCAACTTCCTTGCGAGGAGACTTTTGCACGGCAGCTGCGGGTTTCTCAAACTGTCCGCGACAGCGTGCCAGTCCGTCTAGGCTTACGAGCGTTTTTGCGTCTAAAAAGTTTTTCCTAACGACATTAAAATTCGTTCGCAACTTTTGACCTGTCGAGTATTTACTTTCGAAGAGAAGTGCACGTAACGACGGTACGAAAATTAAAAAGGGAAATAAGCGTGGGAAAAGTAAAAGATAGACACCGTGTATACGACCATTGCAGCGTCTGACAAGTCATTAATAACGGTAAAAAAAATACACAGAAATTATGTAGTGTACCTTAAAAAATATTTGCGAACTTTTCTACCACCAGTTTTCCCTTCGACATCCCCCTAAGCGAGTATTATCCTTTACTGTTTCTATTTTGCTTTACTTTCTTTTATTTGCCAATGGAATCTCGCCAATTCCTACTTATGGATTTTTCTTGGAAGCTACGTATTCCTTTTTTTCTTTTTTTTTTTCTTTTTACTCGATCCCGTACGACCAGCAATGCACCGATGGCAAATTAACGTCAGTAAGGGTGAAACGCGAAAAGTGTAGAAATATGTGCAAAATTCGTCGACGCAGAGAACAAAGCGAGTCGCAGAACACTGGTCGAAAAGTCGGTTGACTACAGCACGAGGATTCTGGTTTTCTACCTACGACTTTACAAACTTCGTAAAAATACTCGAAGAAAACTTGGTTATTTCTCCCCTGCGTACCACTCGTATAAATTTCCTGGCTTGCTGTATGTATTTTCGAAAAGAAAGGATACACACCATTCAAATGCCATTTTCAGCTTCTGTAGCCATGGCGAGTTCTTACAGACTGCATATACGAATGTATCTGGTAGTTCGATAAGTAGTTTTCATGGTTATTTCACGAATGATACGCAAAAATGGAAAAACCTCGACATACCTTCATCCATTTATACAGAGTGGCGCTAAAGTTTTTCTCGTCTAACTCATATTTATTCACATGCGTTTTGCATGTTTGTGAAAACGCATCTACGACTTTAATCATATTTCACGTTGACGTCATATGTCAACTCGTTAAAGGAATGACTTTTTCTCACGAGACACTTGATAAACTTTTAGTTTCTATGAACACGTAGAAAATATTGCGATGCGACTCTAACCAAGATGGCGGACGTGATCGATGCAGTATGAAATAAAATATGATCGCACGTGTCACCGTAAACGAAAACGCCCTCGTGTCTGGATTTACTTGACGTTCCATTAGTTTCAGTCTTTCGGCAACCATGGAGGAATGTGTCGTAATGGCCGCTGCGAGTATGAGGCTTGGAAAGCACCTTAAAAAAATCTTATTTTTGTTAGCGACGAAGGTATACGTCATAGTCAAGACTTTCAGCTTTACTTTTTGTGTGTTGTGATGTCTTTTTTTTATTTACCAACCCC